CAATAACCCTGTAAATGGGACCTAGGAGGGCCAAAAACCACTCAAACCCACAAAGAACACTAAAAAATCCAAGTGAATGGGGCCTGTGTGGCCCTGTGATGGACTTGCGACCTGTCCAGGGTGTACCCCGCCCCTCGCACTGTGACTGCTGGATATGGGCACCAGTGACCCACGCAACCCTGAAAAGGAAGAAGCGTGTACAGAAAATTGATGGATGGATGGATAAACTGAACATCCTACAGTATTTTACTGTCTTTATTTTACAGTTAAAATAAATGTTTATCAAATAAAGTCTAATGTTACAACTAATCATGGATCCCTTTCAAATCTCGATTCTAAATCCAAACGTTGGACAGATTGACTCGAGCCTGACTCCCGTCTGCACGGCTAAGAGTTTCTTTGGCTCTCGTTCTGTCGGAGTGAATCTTCCGTGTCTCCTTCTTTGACGGCGCCCACCGAGTCCTCAGACCGTCGGACCTCAGATGACCCGTTTGTCCCGYACCCTCCCCCGCCCTGTGGCGACGCTCTCAGGAGACGGTTTTCCATGAGCTCCACGTCTCTCGCCCGTAAAGAGACGAAGGAGGGGGAAAGCAGCTGCCTCAGCACCTGCCGGCCCCCGCTGAAAATCAAAATATCAATAAGCTCTTATAGCATTAAAGAAAATGCCTAAATCTGACACTTTCTCTCCCTCCATCCCGTTCTCTCTCCCAGTGCCAATATCACTCAACCACTTACACTTGGCATGGGCCCACTGGAGAGTTTTACATGTACATTAAGAGAGGCTTTCTGCCTCTATTCGTCCTCCTCATCCTCTTCCTTCTCTCCACTATATCTATTAAAGTAAATATACACTGGTGGGGTGGTGACACATAGTCCATCCTCATTCATTTTTGAGCAGGTGATTGACAGAAGCTGATGCACGGCCTCGGTTAAAGGAGGAAACCGCAGCGGGGTCGTCCCCGCGAGCCGGGTAATAATACTTAATGCTTGGCCACAATAAGAAAAAAATCAAAGAAAAACACCGCAACCGTTTGTTCCATTAGAATACAGGAGGAGTAACTCATGTTTAGATAATCCATCATTGTAAAAAGCGCACACTGACCTCATGAAAAAAGTGCCTTGCCAAGGGAAAAAAGGATGAAGATATGATACACATAAAAGAGCTGGAAAAGCAGGCCGAATAAGCAAAAAGAGATATCACGGAGCGAAGAGGAGTTTAAGTAAGGAATGAGGTGTGGAAGGGAAGAATGGCCCGGGGGCAGGAAGAGGATAAAGAGAGGGAAAAGAGGGATGGGGGACTAAGAGGAATGAGAGTGGTGGTAAAGCTGAATGATTGCTCTGTGAGAAATATTATTGATGATTCAGACGGTGTGAATTATTAATGGGCAGCGAAAAGCATCTTTGAACGTGTCTCTGACATTCAATACCGCCAGAGATCAATGAGCTGGCGTGGACACGAAGAGTCGAGATCAAGAGAGGAGGAGGGAGGAGAGTTTTGGACGGGAGAGGAAATAAAGAAGTGAAAAAAATAAAGGAGTAGCTGAAGAGCGAAGGGAGAGAGGGAGAGAGGAGAGGTTTTTGACATGTGGAGGACTTCGTATCAGAGGTTTGTCAGAAAGCTTCAGGAGAGAGGACGAGACGGCCAACTGCGAGGAGTCATGTGACAGCGTTGAAGGTGATTGGCTTTGACATTGTCTCTAGTCTAATGCTCCTCCTCAGATGCAGCAAACAGGAGCACTGCCCCCCCCCCCCAAGCCCCCCAATTCCAGAGCTCACTCCACTCTGCACCACCTTGTCATTGTGTGTGTATTTCTCTCACATGTGACACAGGTAATTACAGGTAACGCTGGAACTTTTCCCTCAGTGATATGATCTCGCTCCCATCTCCACTAGTGATGTGACGTTCACAAACGATCCGAATCTTTTGAACGGCTCTTTACAACGAACGATAGCAGCCAAGTCTCGAGCAGGAACGAGCCATTTGTAGTTTTATATATTTTATTCCTCATATAATGTTTATTATTTCATCCTTAAATTGCTCCCGCTTTGCTTTTTCGTGGAAAACAGGCAGAGCGGTGGAGAACAGAAGCACACGGGAAAGGGGGAGGGAGATTTCTGCTTGACAAAACACATGGTTCCGCCCAAGTAACGTAATGACGACATCACGTTGCCATACGTGATGACGTCATCACGTCGCCATATGTGATGACGTATTTCCCTACGTGATAATGTAACTCGTTCAAAATCGAATGGCTCTTTTGAACGGCTCAATGAAAAGAGATCCTAAGATCCGGATCCCATCAAAGAGCCATTTATCCCATCACTAATCTCCACCTCTATGCAGACGATACCCTGATCTCCGTTTGCTTCATCCGAACCTTTCTGGATGAAAACGTCCTCAAACTGTTTGAGTTTCTAATCAGAATGTCCTGATTTATTGTTCTTTATTTAACCTTTATTAAACCTGTTAACCTGCGGGCCTAACCCTAACCCAAATTAGATGAAGTACTGCTCTTGAGCCCTTTGGAGGGATTCAATCTGAATTTTTAACTTAGGCAGTCATCGTTTTTGTAACTGTAACTAGTATTTAGCAAAGTTTTATAGTAACTAAGTACATTTATTTTGTTACAGTACTTGATTTTTTTTGAGGATTTATAATTTTACCAAGTATTTTTTAAAGTTTTCTTTCATTACATTTAAACCTAAAAGTGATACTTTTACTTCTGTACTTTAAAATGTACCTAGTAGAGTAAATATGAAGCAATGTACAAAAGAAAATGTGTATTTTTCTCAATTTGCTCCACTTAGTTTAGTGGAACCAGTTTGGTTCAGTAAATTCACCAGTTTATTTTTTTCTTAGAAAGTGTGTAAAGGTACTTTTACTTTCACAATTTTTGTGAACAGTTTTATGACTTTTACTGAAGTACTTTTCTCATCAGTGAAATTTATTTTTACCAAAGTCATTTTTTGTTAAAGTATTTTTTCTTTATAGTTTTCAAGTAGGTTATGGACCTCTGCATGTTTTACACTTACATTGAATGTGGAAGACTTTCTAATGTCATTTACATTTTTCATACATTCTACATCAAATGCTTGGTGTACATCAGTTACTTGTATTAGTTTTTGTTTTTCTAATTAGTGTAAAATAATCTTTTTGCAGGCTCACATCTCATAGATGATGAGGTCAGGTTTCCACAACAGGTTTTCAGGAACTGTCAACTGAGTGATTCCACAAAACTGAGCCGGGTCCCAGGAGATGCGCTCATTCTTCCAATGCTGCAATAAAAATACAATATATATA